ACTTCCATTTTGCTCACTATCTCTATGGTTATCTGGGAAATTATTTCTGTTTTGAATTTTTCTAGAGCCTGATTGATCTGTTTTGTTACTTCCTGTGCTTTGAGTTCAGGGTGTCCTGGTGGTTCACTATCGGCCTTTTCATCCTCATTTGCCCTACTGTTTGCCATTGGTGAACTGGAAGTCTGTCCTTGTGTCTTGCTTAAGTGTTTTCTCATTTTTATTTTTGTTGTCGGACTGTCCTTGGTTTAATCTCTGGGTTATCACCCAAATCTTCCTGATATGGTTGCACCCTAGCTTCTGTGTCTCTAACAACCCACAGACATTCTCATCTTCATAACATCAGAGGAAACAGCTCATCAAATCAACCACAATGCTTTATCCCAACTGATACAATCAGCAGCACATTAAGATCAAGCACAACTTGGAAACTGACCACCTGTGGTAGTCACTAGTCTATCACCCTTAAATCATTTGAATTAAATTGAAATCAAGAAGCAGTCCAGAACATGTCTGCAGTGAACAAAATTTCAATATAGTGTATTTACTATTCAATGGCTCAGACAGAGCGAGGATGCAAGATCCCTGGTCTCAGTTAGCTGATGGCTGAACCCCATGACGGTGACTGACCTCGGGCTGCAAGGCCCAGATTGAGTTCCCCAACCTTCTGAACGGTTGAACTCCACAATGTTCTATTACAGGTTTCCCACACCCTTTCTTTAAAGATGTTCAAAGTTGGGAACTCAGAAAAATACCCTTGATGACCACCTCTGCTTCTGCAGAGTGGGTCCAAAGACTGGCACAGTCAGGAGGTCTGAGAGTGTGCGTGGGGTGTGTGTGTGTGTGTGTGTTTAGGGGGTTCAGGGGCGCCCGCATGGCTACCTTCTTGGAGCTCAAAAGATGGCAGCTGGGGAGGGAGAAGGCGTGGCTCTCCTTCCCGCAGTAGACAGGGCCCAGGCTACCTCCCGGTGCTGGATCGATCCCATATTATTTTTTTAATTAAAAAATTTTGGTTCAATTTAGGTATACACAATGATCACATTCATCATAGGGAATTTGTCCCTGTACGTGATGTATCTTGATGGAATGCTATATTGAACACAACAATTGTGAAATTTTGTTTTAGAACTTCAGTCTTATAACCTATAAACCAGGCAGAATATACATCATTCTAGAGTTAAAAGTACTTGAAACTTGGTATGATGTCCTTGCCCCAGTAAATAAGTTGTGGTTGTTTTATTATTTAGTAGTTTATGTTTTAACCACTTTTCTATGCTGTTGACAGTGATTGGTATTAAAAGTAACAAGCTTGAGTGTATGTATTGTTGTTCTGAGACATGATCTGGCTACACTGCCCAGCTTGGCCTTGCACTCTCAGGGTCAAGTGCTTCTGCTTGCGTTAGCCTCCCCAGTAGCTGGGACTACAGGTATGTACAACCTCACGCAGCTGCGTGTGTTAGCGCTTTCTTCTTCCTGTGTTACCAGGGATGGAACTCAGGGAGGGTTGAGCTGCATGCTCATGCCTTTTCTGTTTTTGAGACAGGATCTCGCTAAAGCTCCCAGGCTTGCTTCTGAAATATGATCTTCCTGTTTCAGCTTCCAAAGTAGCTGGAATTACAGGCCTGTGCCACCACTGCCCCATAAACATTTTGAAAAGCAGTTAAATGTTGTCTTTTTCCTCTTGTATGTTTTTCTTTAAATCGTGTGAATGATTCCTTCTTCTAAGAGGAAATTATAATTTTGAGTTTACTGTAACATAATTGTACCAATATCATAAACTCTAAACTCTTTCTTACCATGATGACCTAATAACTATTGTCATCTTTCTGAAAAACAAGGATTTTGTTTTTTCTGTTTTCCTTCTTTTTCATGTCTTCCACTTCAAAACTATATTTTTAAATTGAACCATTTTATTGTTTCTTAAAAGTACAATGTATAATTATATTTAACAACTGAAACATTATAAAGCCAGTAGAAATTTCCCCCTGAGATAATCAAATTTTATGTATAGCCTTTCAAATATTTTTGTGCTTCTGTACAGATATAAATAGATATATTATTATATTCTTTTTATTTGTATACAAATGAGTTAAAATTATATTATTTGATTTTATGAGTTGCTTTTGTATGTACCAATATATTTTGGGCACCTTTGTGTACCATATATGATAATAACTCTTAAACACCACTTATTGTATACCAGGCACTGTTTAAAGTAACTTCTTTAATATTGTGATTTCTCCAAGATACAGAAGCTGAAGTACAGAGTTTCTTGGGAAAGAGTGGACTCCAGTGGGTTGGGGCTAGAATCTTCATCTCTATTCTCTTCTCTTGGTTCTCCAAAACTCAAGAGCTATCTTTTCATTTTTATGGCTAGATTATGAGTATAGGACCTGAAACAAGGGCTCTGCAATATTATATCAACAAAACAGAAGATAAACATTTGATAGAATAATCCTATTATCAAATAAAAGTGCTTCAGCATAGATATTAAAGTAGTAATAATTTAAATCTCTGGGTATTTAAATGAGTTATCTCCCCTTTTTTCCTTTTTGATTTTCTTTATAGTTTGAATGTCAGTGAGCATAAATTTTCTGTACTCAGAAGGACTCAAATCACATTCATTTTGCATATAATAACTAAAATATAGTCCAAATCAGTGCTATGATAATTGTTTAATTTTTTAGAAATTACTGATGATAAACCTAAAAAATAGATTTAGTAGACAGACAATTTACTG